ACAGTGAGACACAATTTTTGAATAATATGTAGGATCCCCCTTGATGTCAATCAGAACCTACATATATTCACAACTTATAATAGTAATATGATAGAATAGTATATATGTGGAGGAATATTACTACCACCACCGGCGCCTGGGTCCACCTCCTGAGTCCAAGTTGGTTACTCAGTCTTCTTATAGAGTATAAGAGACTGATTAACCAAGGGAATCCTTCTCATTCTGTAATATTATTGTCTTACCGCTTTGGGACATTCCAAAGTGGGACTAACAATTGTATCCCTGAAGCAAACCCTTTGCTTCAAAGGCTCAATTGCTTTATTATGCAGTCAAAGCGGGGCTTTGTTAGGTAGCCATCCATTTTATGGCCGGCAAATCATTTATCATGCATATTCTGAATTGTGAAGACATAATAAATAAAAAGACTGATTTGGGATTTGAATGTGTAGAATGATTCAAGGATGAACATTTGTACAAATATGAGAAGATGCACTTTAAAAATTATCACCCGTAAGAACAAAATCAACCAGCATTTCATCATCATCTTCCATTAATACCAGGTTGTGAGTAAGGTCATACTCCAAGTCATCAATGTTATTTCTCATATCATCTTCATCATGTAACGGTATTTCCTGATCAATCAATTCCAGTTCATCAAGTTGTTGTGCAGGCACCGATGGGCACCAAACAATACATTCCCATGTGCGACTGCACCTTTCTATCAAAGATTTCCATTGCAATTGCAAATATGAAAAACTAGCCATGGTCTCATTAGAATAGGCTGCCGTATTTTGAATTAGCCCGGGAAGGTGAGTGTGCCAAACCATCCAAGTTCGACAAAACCAAAAGGTAAGCTCTTTATGCAACGCTTTCAACATGTTTTGACATACTTCCCAATTGGATCTTGAGACGAGTGCATCAGCCATCACTAACTGCAATGGTTGCTTTTCTTCAGGACCACCATTGACCCATGCTGTGATTCCAAGATCAGTAATTTATTGTTATTTAGTTAAATATATAGAATGACTCACGCAAGTGGCAGAGCGTGAGCAGCGAGTTGAGCTTAAGTTCCATTTCTAGGGCTGACCTGATCATGTGCTGAACTTCACAGGCTATTCTTTCAAGCTCTTCAGCAGCACTTCGCGCTGTTCGAAAGGCCTGGATTCCCATTTGTGTTGCAACATCGACAGCCCAGGGCTCGTCGGGATGCGTTAGATGTCCTATATTCCAAAAAGCATCGGTTATATCCATTGCTTTCACTTCTTCCAATGTTGGGAGTCGTATAACTGGGGAATTTGGGTAATTGTTATGGTACTTCACCACATTTGACTTGAATGTTGCATATTTGGTTGTCAAAGTTTTGTTACAAGTGTCCATGACTTTCTTATATCTTGCTTGGTCGGAGGTCCCTATCAAACCAAGCAATGATCAATAGATTACTTTTAAAACCTGGCATTGTACTTTAGACTGACCTAGGCCCGGCTGATTCCACTTCTTTTGCCACTCAATTTTCCCAACCATTGCTTCATAAAGCGACTCCTTAGTCATTCGAATTCGCATTGTGAGGCGTGCCCGTGGGTCTAGGATATGGAATATTTAACCCATTACTCAGTTCAACAAACTCAGTCACAATCAATCACAAACTCACCTTTCACCTCAGGCATATCTCGAAATGCATCACCTCCTAAATCATCCGCAATTTTGGTGATTGCCTCTTCTAGTTCAACAAGTGTTGATGGGAGGTCTCGCAAAGCGTCATGGTCAGCCTGTGACATATTTGCCCTCCTTTTGCGGCGAAGAGTCTTCAGCTCTTTGCTGATAGTTATAAAACTGTCTTTAATATAGGTGTTCATCATAGGGAGGTCTTAGAGAAACTCACTGAGCAAGTTGAAATTCCTCCTCAAGTTCAATGAGTCGGCCCAGTTGAACCTTCAGTGTCATCAATCTCCCGTCTCCCGTGATTTCAGCTTGACAAGTTCTCTGTTGTTCCCATTGAGCGCCAATATATTCGGTTGTCAGACCACTTCTTTCCAACTCCCCAAGCTTGCTATGTGCGTCATGTAGTCTTTTTTGTGTCGTCCCGAGCTTAAGTAATGTTGACTTTGCTGTAACATATGTTAGGTTTTCAATCAATATACCTTGCAAAGGTATTATAAGAAAAAAGCAGAAATAGATGGATACCTGCTTTCTCACGAGATAACGCATTGTTATGCTGGAGTTTCAGATGCAATGCGTCAACCCAAAACTGTGGACTCGCCCACCGCAGGGGAGCAATTAGAGGTGACACCTTGAACCATTCACGTTCCAGTCCTTCCCCATCTGAGAAACCCCACCGCGCATTGAGTCGTGGATTGTATTGCAGTTGACAGGACCACCGATGAACATATGCATGAAATGCACTTGTACCAAAGATCAAACGTTCTTGCGCTCGCTCATCAACAAATAGATTGTGCTGGATGTTCATGATTACATTAATAAAATAGATTTGAAAATATTTTCCGTGACAAACTTACCTTAATCACACCTTTTTCTAGGGTACATCCAATTTCATATAGGAGCCCAACACCAGAATTATTGGTATCAGTATAGCCTTCAAGAATTGCGGTGAATAGTTCGCCCAGCAGAGCATGTACAAAATAAGCCCTGTTCAGGAGGGGTACAAGAGTACGGTTCAGTGAGTTAAGAGTAATATGATGTTCCGTTACTTTTAATTGCTCACTTTTCACCACTTCGGATGACCTTGACCATTTTCAGCATATGGTCATGTCGGCATGCCATTCCTATCAAACCCGTCTCTTCACAACCTCGCCAGCTGGATGCATCTCGTTTGTCCGCTGCTGCCGTGTGCTGTTGTGTGCAGGGGTCCTAATCACAGGCACCAATAGATAGGTAAGCCGTGTGATCCTTCATTGGCACTTTTTCAAAAGGAAGTAATACCAGGTCAACATCAGCCCTAGGGAGCCTACCCGAATTGGGAGGCTCCCATTTTGATACTGCCTCAGGTTTCATAAATAAGGATGGCATGACCACTGGGATCTCGTCAAAGATGCGACTGGCGGATTCATGACGTCGCTGTTGGAAGTTTCCATCCACGCAAACTATGTATTGAGGTCCGCTCTGGATTCCCGATGCACCAGGTGGACCAAAACACCTTGGGAAATTAGCCGCAAGTCTCTGCAAAGGAGTAAGGTCAAGGCTGCGAGTCTTGAGCTCTTCTATCCCTTTGAGTATTTGTTGGTAGCAAATGATCGCACCTGTCATTGGAACTCGCCACAATCGAGGCTGGGTGAATGTTAAATGTCAGAGCATGTATTTCATCAATTGAAAAGATGATATCACCTCATGGGTATTAGCAACCAGGATTAGTGGGTTGAACACGTCCAAGAATTTGTCTATCATTAAAGCAAAAGGTTGAATATTTGAGTGGCAATATTCCCATGCCAGGTGATAGAAGCGAAGGAGCCAGAGAGAGAATGCAGTCTCAGGCTGCTTAGGTGTTCCTCCGAGATATCCTTGGTTGATCAACCTAACTTGGTCTGGGGTGCACAAGCAGAATTCAACAATAAGCTTGCGACGAACTGGTCATAGCAAACTTCAGCATGTAAACCACATCACATTTTCAATCATAATTCCAAACCTCACAAATCAAATCCACAGTATCAACAGCCCGTTGATGTTTGTCACCTTCACGACAGGAGCAGATAATGTTCTCATTGAAGTCGTGCTTCCATAGGGCATCATTACCCCAGTTTGATGTGCGCTCCGCGCCTTGCATGAAAGCTATGAAAATTGATGGCATGATGTCCTTCCACTGTGCATCCTGTCGAAGTCGGTGATCCCTGTATTGATCACCCGAGATGAATTGAGTGAATGTTAAAGGTGGCCGTTGGGGATCATCGTTGTTGACGTTGTTTGCATTGTTGGCAATGTGCTCTGCCAAGTTCTCATTAAATTGAAGATTATCATTGAGATTGTCAGCATTTGTAGGTTGAGGGTTTGGTTCAGGGGGAAAATTGAGTGCCTCGACAATTTCTTCACACCGTCTCTTTCCCCAGGTGGTCTTTGCTTGGTCATTTTCAGCTTTCTGGATTGCGGCAGGGGTGGTTGGAGCCTTGCGTTTAGAAAATCGAGAGGAGCCTGGGCAAGCAATAGCACGACCATTCAATCCCATTGAGAGAATGACTTTAAAATCACAAGATGTGAAAATTGAAAATTGATGATAAGTGAAAAGATGAGGACTCGGAAAAAAGATGTACAGAACGAATCAAAGCTAGCTCTTCCCGATTGGGCATATGTGGAAGATCTAGTATTACAAAAAATACTGTTTGTGTCCACCCTGGAGCTAAGTGAATTGCAAATGTTCCTTGAACACAATTCGACAATAGGGAGCTACAGGGAGGTTTGACTACTGGCTGCCGTCAGTGTTTGTTTGACGTCAGCCAAAATCTGCCACTATGAGATTGGCCAGTTACCCCAATTGAGAATCCTCATTTATGAATATATATCAACTTATACATGAAGATAATGATCCATGTAATCTACCCGTCCCTAGTGCCTATAAGATTAAGACATCTTCAACTCTGGTATGGTCGGTCGGGTGTGGTCTTCCGCTGGTGTCACGGGAATGGGATATCTAGGTAACACACTAGAGAGCTCTAGCTGAAAAGTCATTGCGACAAAGTTCCTCATCAAATACACTAATGATAATCTAGGTGTGATTGCGTCTATTAGTTTGTGTGACTGGCTGACATTTGTCAACCCATTTAATTGCTAGACTATGGTATGAGTGAGTGTTTGAAATTACAACACACTTTGGAAAATATTCAAATTTGAGGTGCAGTACATGTCACCTGGTAGTGACATGTACCTATGTATAACATATTTCACATGTTGTATGGTGTGTAAGCTGTGATACATTACCACAGCTTTCACATCGTCAGGCCTCGGTCAATAGCTCTACCACATTGATTAGAACACACACCTACTTACCACTCGTCGCGATGCCCTCAACCTCAAAATCACAGCGAAACACTCGTCCGACTCAAACCAAATCGACCAACCAGACCAGTTCGGAAGGTCCTAAACGTCCTTCTAAACGGCGTCGCCGCGAGATGGAGCTTACTCAGGAAGAGCTGGATCTGGATGAGGAAGATGCTACGAATCGCCCTATCGCTGATCCAACTTATCTGCCCACGCCAGCTGTTACGCAGCAACCACGCCTGCAAACTACCGGAAGGGATGTGACAGCCGAAGATATCGACCTACGTGATATCACTTTAAAAAATTATCAGGCAGCGAAGAAATCTTGGCCTGTTGGACGGATTCAAGCACAGTTGGCACGCCAGCGCTCGTCGAATCATCAGCTAAGCGCCGCTTTCATTGCCAAAGGCCAAGCCGTTCTTGAAGACCTGGACCACACTATTCACATGATTGTGATGGTCTCTGGGGTGGACATTATGAAATTGAAGCGAGCCTTGTATGTCTGGGCGCTAAATAAATAAACAAGACCAATTTATTTGTATTCTAATTATGGTTGCTTTGATTTCAAGGGGCTTGATGGGTGGTACTCATGCGGAAAATCCCTGGCACCGTTGGTTAAGCTTTGCACTTGATGCAAATAAGTTTGCAAGTCAGTTTTAGTTAACCTCTACATATATACTGTGTTCAACACCGTACACTGATACTGTGGCTTCTTTTCAGTGCCTGTAAGACGAGACCCAGATTCCAGCGACATACTCACACGTCGAAACCAAGCCAATTCAATCGCTTATCAAGCTCTTACCGACGACGAGTATGCTGTGTTCACATCTAATGTGTTCTACGCTCTTGGAGGATATCCCGACTACTCTGCAATTAACATAATTGAAGATAGCAATGTCTTTGGTGACAGTTCAATACTGATACCTGAGATTCCGAAGCTTAAGGAGGAAGACGAGCTTCTATATCGGCCGATTTATGAGAAGCTGGTAGACTTGAAAAAAGTAGAAAGGGATCGGAAGTTGAATACACCCTCTGCGTCTTCTCAAAAACAAGAAAAGCGATCTCTTCAATGTATGAAAAAGATAGCCCAAGAAGTAAGGACTGGCCTGTTTGTTTCGTTTTTTTTCTTCATTCTATACTATATTGACAATATATTTTTGTAGCTGGCCCGGTACCACCACCTTGTCGGACTGGATTATTATATAATTGCATGTAGCAACAGTTTGTCTGGTGAAGGTTGGTGTAGAGAGTATACATCTCGGGATGAGATATCTACTTGGGTCGAAACAAAGGCACAGCTTCAACATGTTTTCCCACTGTATTGTCAAAATGGATCGACAATTGATGAAGTCAAGTCGGTTGCAGCAGCAAACAAAGCTTCTTTGACTCACAAAGCATCAAACAACAAATCCGACACCGATAAGAAGACGTTGAGTGACATGTTGAATCAATTATTGGGTATGTATCCAACCAAGGTTGATTTGGTATGTGTATAGTCAGCTGACTTGTGATATCCTCACTTATAGCTCAAGTCGGTCTTTAGAAGAGTTTTCCTAAGGTGGCTGATCCCATTGGCACTTTAAAAGAGCGCAAAATCCCAGTGGGCATCGAGCGTGCCCCAGATTCAAGCATGCTGGAGGTCGATTTTCTCAAAGGTTTCACAGGAATGAATGCAAAGGCTCGGCGTCAGTGGATAGATGACATCAACAGTGGGAAGTTTCAGGTTAAGTTACTGGAAAATCATGCTACTTAAGTGCGTGCGGAAGTTAGTGATAATGTTGCTGAACGTCTTAAAGAGTCCAATCCCCTGGGGCCACATGTAGTTACTTGAATTATGTTAGTTTGGTTTACATCCGTGTCATCAGTTGAATGGCTGGAGTCTTGCCTATTCCAAAAGATTACTTGTTATTGTTGAAATGACTAAGCCACCAAAGTTTTTTGCCGAAGTTGTTTGGTGTAATGGAAGTTACATTTGATTTTCTTTGTGTTGGTTTGAATGTGTTGTGAAGTGATGTGTGTATTGCACATGTGAGGATATTCTTAAGGTTTTTGATGGGCCAATGAGCAATGGTAACTGCAGGTTTGGGATGTGATCACTTTGAGTAGATGTGCATGTGGTGTAACTTTTGAAATGTACTTGTTGGGATCAATCATGATCAATATTCTGAAAACAAGAATAACATTGTCCACTTTACACTGAGATGTGCGTAATCTGTTTGTTTGTGATCAAACAGTACTCAATTGTAAGTGTTGAGATGATCTGGTTGCAATCAATGATGATCAAAATTCTTAAATCAATTAGTCATTTTACAGTCATTTTACGTGGAGTATGTACAAGCCATGTTTGTTTGCAATCAAAAAGCTTTTATTTTGGTGTCATTAGTGAGGGATTGGTGGTGTTAGCGGTGGGTGTGTCAGAATGACTTGTCATTTTTGAGACGACTGAGAAGTGGAACTGAAAGTGGGAATGGGGGAAAGGCGTGTGAATGTGGGAATGGGGGAATTCAGGTGGGTATGTGTGTGTGATTGGGTGAATAAGGTACTCACACGTGGCTGAAAGGGACTTTGGGTGGTGGTGGTGGTGATGTGTGAATGAGATATCTTTGGCTTGTAAATTGTTGGTGGGAATGAGTGAAAAGACGATACCAGACATCTGGGTCTTCTGATAAGACGCTTTCGGTACGACACCGTATGCTTTTACGCAGATGTCACGGTATTTCAGCGTGGGATCTGTAAGCTACAGGTGGGTCCCAAACTCCAGACACCACGATCGCCGGAAATCAACATTCAATGGTTGATGTTCACCAGGCAACAGATGTCGTGGAACCTAGTGATGTGCAAGTTGTAGATTCTGGAACACAAGGTTTGTAGATATTGTTTAAAGAATTCAAGATTCAAGGATTCTTAAACTTAGTGTTGACCAGTCGTCATTCACCATGATATCACAGATTCAGGTACTCAAAAAGGTGAAATAAAAGGTAAGGATAAAAGTCTTTTCTGCTTCTCACGATTTGTTGGGATGCATAATCCAATCAGACTGAAGTGTACCTCAAATTAAAGCAGGTCCATTACAGGCGAAATTGGATCATATGGATAACATGCTGGTTCTGCTTGGGAGAATGATGCGGGACAATATTGATTCCCACGCTGTACAAAAAAAGCAAGTAAATGGTGTGTGATGTTTTGTTATAATGATGTTGACCAATACTGTACGTAAAAATTGATGCTCAGTCTTTTTTTGGCAGATTCAGTTGAGAGAGATCTAGCTTTACATATGGAAAAAGCCATCAGCGATATCCATGTGCTAAAGTCGAAGGTTGAACTGTTGGACGTGGAGGTTCTGGATTTGATGCAGGAGGTGTCTTCAGCCCATCACAAGATCAAGATACACGAGAGGGTAGTCCAAAAGCTTCTTGGACCTGCGAGCGAGAAGCTTGTTGATCAATACAATGATGACTCAGACAATGTCAAATCCAATGACATTGCTGAACCACAAACAGACTCCTGTGCTTGATTTGATCTAATCCTATTACGTGGCCTGTGTTTCTGATTGTAATGGCATTGTCCCAGTCCTCTTGGTGTTTGAGGCATCTACATTCTACTTAAGCCAGATCAATGAATAATACTAGGATTCTTTTAGCACGTTCAATTCATTCATGAGAGCCATGAGCTTCACAAAGATCCAATTGTGCAGAAAAATTGTCTCATCTTTGCCATTACGATTGCAATGGTTTTGTTTGTACAACTTCTCAATGTGGGATTGTTTCTTCCAGGATTTCTTGTATTTTCATCTTTTGGTTTGCTTGAGCGCTTGATTGTTTAACCTTTATGCATTTTATGTTTGTGGTCCAATTTCTGGTAGTATATCCATGATTATACATGTACAATGGCTGACGATGATCTCGTAACGAGATGAATTGTAGCCTTTATTCATCTCCTTATGTACCATATTGTCATAAGCAATAGAACACGGTAAATTGACAGGCAGTACAGTCCAGTGCAAGCAATACAAAGTAGTTTCAGTAACAAAATCTAGAAATAGAGCGGCTGGTTGAACCCCAAGAAGACATGGGACGGAAGACCATACAATACAAACCAGGTGCGTGAGGAAGGCATGACATTCTCAAAAACAAAAAGCAAAGTAGACAAAAATTACAGTTGTTTGATGTTCGCACGATTCAGGAAGTGATGATAGAGTAGTGAAATCTCTCGACTAAAACCCCAGGCTCAACGGACCCTTCACAGATAAACTTGATGTATGAGGCAAGGCAAACAGGACGATCCAAGCCGGCAGTGTGAATGAATACCTCAGGGTTTTTGCATTGGAGAGCAAAACGGAGGTGTTCGATTGTGTGTCCCTTGAGAGCTTTCTCTTTGAGGGCACGAGGTGCTTTGGTGAATTCCGTAACTTCGGGTAATTTGAGATCTGGATTGATGTGTTCTTTGTAAAGACGGCGTAAACCATCTATCTTGGCGATTGAAGGAATGTTCACGCTGGGGGCTCGACGCTGAAGAACCTCTTTCAACATGCAACGAGTTGTAGTGGAGGCCATAGGATCAAAGTCGTCTTCCTCGGTGTCCGTAGGAGTAGGCGGCGCGGCTGATATAAATGGCAGAAGGCGCGGTAACAAATCTTTTTCAAATTCTGCCACTAAGAGCGCTTTGAGGCCAGTCACACGAGCCTTGGTCGCCGGGTTGAAGTGCAAAAGGATTCGATAGAATTCAATTTTCTTGATTGACTTTTTCTTGATCTCACTCAAGAAACTTTCGAAGGTCGGAGGGTAAAGTTTGCACAGCATTCCATAACGGATGAGACTCGTTGTCGGTCTCATTGTTGTCGATTGATGAGTCTGGAGCCTTTGGAGTTTGGCGACTAGCTGATGGCGGGACTCCTGCAAGAGTAAAGGTTGCAGGGGCAGCGGCCACCTTCTTCTGCATATTCGAAAGGAGCTCGGTTGCAGTGCTTGGCGACGTGACTGGACTGGTGCTAGATCCTGATGATTTTGCCTTCTTGGGCATCACTAGAGTCAATTGATAGTCAGATCCTGAATACAAGCTTTTGGAGAAACAGCGTGGTAAAACACACCGGGATTGTTCAGGGAATTGAAGAACGTAGGAAATCGTATTGGTAGATTAAAGCCAATCGAAGTGCGGTCTACAAGGAACTGGAAGTTGAGCACACATGTAGATTGGTGAACATCAATATACTTGAACTAAGATGTGTAGTGGGTTTCAAGAGACTGAAAGTAAAAGATGTATGATTTACCCTGGAGGCCTCAAGTATATGATTATTTAAGGCTTTATTTTCCAATTCGAGAGGATTATGCTAGCTGCACTGCAGAGCTGTAGATAAAGAAATGATTGTACGTCTATCAGTGATAGGTGTGATCCACAGGGAAGGTGAAGATTTTGAGACAAAACGGAGTGAAGAAGGAAAACACAAACACACACAGAGCAGTAATAAATTCAAGATCTAGCAACCACAATGACAGATGTAATAAAGTGTTGTACGAGGGGACTAGGAGACCTGAATCCGTAAAGGTGAGAGTTATACTTGAAGAAGTGGACGAGCGTGCATGTCCTACAAGATAGAACTTTTGGGTGAACAAAGTCTGCTAGTTATAAGGGTGATCAAATGCAAATGTGTCCAAACAAAAAACGTGTATGGTGAGTTGGATCAAAGATTGTTACAGCTTGTTGTGGGGCTCTGTTGCGTAAAACATGCAAGTCTTTCGACCCGCGCTGAAGGTAACTGGGTTGACTTGATCACCCCAGTGACTCGTATTTGCATGACTTAGATGGCTTTGTGGAATCAGGTTCCCAGGTGTTTGGATCCCTTTGAGCTGACATATGTCAAGGTAGTAGAGACACGGTACCCATCTCCGCTGTGTCCTTTGATGACGGAGTTTATGTCTATGTGTAGCTCACAAGGAACAGTACCCACTTCTTTCGTGTTGCCTGATGACTTGGTTAATGGAAGGTCACGAGAGGTAGCAGGCTTCGAATATGACATTTCATGTGTAGTTTGCATAGTGAGCCAAGGTTTTGTAGCGAAGATACTGATTTCAATTTTGTGGTGAGATGAAAGATACAGGATTCAAAGATTTTGTGGTGAGATGAAAGATAAAGGATTTAAAGGACATCACTTAGAAACAAACCGAATCTTGTAGTAAACAAAGGATATGGATGGTCGTACTTGATCATTCCACCAAGTAGCTCCCTCTTGCCAGGATAGCACGATGTTTTGGGTGCAAATCTAATCAAGTATATATCCATCATCCATCCACAGTTTTTGCATCATCCGGCATTCTCAGAGTCACCAAATTTGTTTAGAGACGAGTCTAGATATTGTTGTCCGTTTTATCACGTTCTCCAGCTTTATCGCTATGATCATTTACCCAAGATGTCTTCAAAAAAAGAAAAGGGCCTTCCTCGTCGGAGCTTGCGAAACAAAACCACGGCGCCACTTGCAGAGGACCCCGCATCAGCATCTCTTCAGCCAGCATTGCCGGTGCTTCCATCAGTTCTCAAGCTTTCGACTTCACAGCCTTTCTGTGAACCACCTGCGGCGGGGCCATCCTCCAGCAATTTGAGTACAAAAACCCGGCCCCAGAAGCGCAAAAAGGGCACGCCTCCACCAACCGGCTTGGTGGGCGGTAAGTTTTTTCTGATACAATCAGACATCTTTTTTAGAAGCTGGATTCATGTCGTTAGCACTCATCCATCAATTGTCAATCGGCGACTTATGGCTATCCTTCTCTGGCATCATAGGACCACCTGAACTGAACGAGGATCTACCCAGCCGTCTTGAAAATTCAGGTGTTCCAGTTGGACCCAAGGCAACCCAAAACCAATTGTTAGACCTCCTCGATAAGTATGTAGAAACCAAGCGTCCCAGGCTAGTCCGTAAGACCAAAGCCCCAAGGATTTGTTCGAGTCACGAAGTTAGGTCAAAGCGTGTAGAAGGCTTGTCCAATACGGTCGAGGCCTCTCCAGCCGGAACACAGGACACTCCTCAAGGACCTCTGTCGACTGACCCATCTCCGCCAGAAGATTACGACTTCAACAATCTTGAGTGTTCAGACTTGATCCAGATTGTTGAAGGGATAGGCTTTGATGGCAGGACGTCCACCAAAGCCAAACTAGTCGATATCTGCAATCAGCATCGCGATAAAAGTACGTCAAATTCCAATTTATCAGTGAAGGCTCACCGTGCTGATGTCTTCAAAACCTTTGAATAGCTCGCATACCCCGACACTTGTTCCGATTTGAACTGCAAGCACCTCGAACAATATCTCCTCCTGGCACTGGATCCGGAGGTTTGTCAAGCAATCCTGATTTCTAATGAATGTATTAACTCAAATGTGTACGCATGACCTGCTCCGGATCAGCTGGACCTGCTGTGTCTCATGACAAATATCCAGGTAGAGTTTTTTTTGAATATCATAATTTGTGGGTTGATATGGGGTAAGCTGACCTAACTTCTCTTTGCACACGCAGATGTTCGGCCATCATCCCCCATTCAATACCCAACTCCTACTGGCCAAAGTTTTCCACCCAGCATCTCATCAGCTTGCGGAGTCAATTCACCGATCAGCAAAAAAAGAAACAAGGGTAAAGGAAGAGCAAAGTCGTCCTCACCTAGCAATTCTCCTGAACGCAGTTCAACTGCACAGCCTAGTTAGTAGTTTCAGACCGTGTTAGGTGGAATCAGTGTATTCTTGATTGACACTTTACATCAACTAGCCGGATTGTCACACTTTTCAAAATCTACTGCAGATATCATACAAGACAAACTTCCTAGTCTAGAACACCGACGCCTCCTGCACCCACGCCCTAACCCGACCCACAAATTCATCTCCACAAGCAATCCCAAGCCAACAGAATCTTCTGACGACGATTGGCATCCACCAGACGACGACGATTGGCAACCATCAGACGACAACAATTCTTCAAGTGACGCCGGTGATGGTTCTGAAGAATCAAAATCTGATAAGCACAGCCCCCCTCCGAAGTCTACTAGAACAAGCCCGGCTGTCTCACACAAATCTCGACAGTCTTCCATGCACCCTCGCTCCCCAATATCCCCGACAAGTCCATCTCCTCATGTTGATCAATTTGATGCTCCCAAACAGGGTGCTTACGAGGAAGAAAAAAATGAGCCTGAATGGCGTACAAAATATTGTAAGTCGTGATACACATACCGATCACACCATGATTACTGAAGCTTCACATACCTTTAGACCAACTTAAACATTCCCTAGCAGACACTAATAGTAAGCTTGAACTCGTTACCCACGACTTGAACGTTTTATCGGAGGTCGTGAGCCAAATTTCAGACGTCAAACCAAGCTCCTCACCTGAGACCAAAACACGGGGTGGAAGATCCGCGGTGAGTTCACAAAAAAACCCTGGGGAAAGATCTTCCAAGCTGATTAATTATGCAGTCCTGGATGCGTGTACATATTGACACTCTTTTAGGCCTCATCAGTTCTGCAGCCAGCCTACCCCCTCCAGCAACTGATGAAGACCAAAAGGCTTGGAAAATCGATATTGACCTTGATAACATTGATCTTTTCGCCCATGCCACTGAAGCAACCCAATCTACTTCTGAAACGCCTCTTCCGGAAGGCAAAGGGCTGCAACATCCCAAGGCGACAACCCAACAGCTCATTGTCATGCGGACTATGATGCGATCTGTGGGGGTGATAAACTTTCGTCCTGACTTTTCCAAATCTCCATCTTCTCCCGAGAACAAATGGTTATGGGATTTAGCATTTAGAATCTTCATCAAGATAGTCGAGTGCGGCGAATATCCTGGTGTATCCCTTGATACCAAAAATCGAAAACACCTCAAGAAATTGTTGGATACCCGTGTACGATCTCTCATGAAACGGTATGTACCATCACTCTCACACCCTGAATTTCTTTAAGTATCTTCTAATACACATATTCATGTAACACGGATATTCAGGTATCAGCAAGAAGCTTGGGATGAAACTTGAAAGAAGCGCGCTTCTAGTGCAGTCCAAAGACGTGCACGGCTGAGTTATGTGCGTCCCCTCCTCTTTCGTCCATTTTCCCTAGTTTCCATCAGCCTGATGCAGCTCTCAACAGAACAAGAAGCTTCGCGACCGTATAGTACTCTCACAACGGCCGTTGTGGCCCCTTTCAGCCATCATCCAAGAAGCTTGCAGCGATGACGAGACAGATCACGAGGATTGTCTACACCGCGACAACGATCACACACGAACTGCGTGTCACATCAGAAAGCTAACTTGGCGCAGCTCTGAGTTGACAAACATCATCATAATTTTGGACAAGTATAAAGCCCGGCTAGACCTCAGTATCCCCAAGCCCAGAAAACAGGAAAATCAAAGTAGTGGGTCAACTAATGGACGCCCTCCACGACCTTGACTCCAGTGTCCAAACGCACTAATTTCCGACAATCCTGTTCCCTCCGGTCTCCTGGTAGACTGCTACTCGCCACATTACCTTGAATCACTAACACCTTTTGAAAGGAGCGCACTTGATATTAATCGTAAACCTCTTCTTTCAAACTTGATCCCTATTGTAGAGTCATTACAATGATATCTTCCATTGTAAGTCATCAATCTGATATATTTGAGATTTTTCAAAAACTTAATTGCTAACTATATACATGAACTTCAATTTTAGACACTCATCAAATAACTTGGAGACTCATCGTGCCATGGATACTAATGCGACTGTTGGCACGTCCAAACTCTTGTGAATCGAACCGGGGCGATACCTCATCCAGGCGCAGTGCGCCACTACTTCATCCAATCTCACCAACACACTGTCAGGGGTTTCCCACAATCGCAACTCAACCTGGAGGTCTGGTGCATCAACTCTCACAAATGGATTATATTGACTTGGGGAAAGTGGGCGGAATGATTGTACACATAGCCACGTGTCTTTTATATTCTTGTTTTGTTCCGGACTTCGGCGGTGTGTAAAGATGGAATGAATTCTACCAAAGCAGGTGTGTCCTCGAAGTGACTTGAAAACGATGAAACTGTCTTTTTGACTTGCTCTAAAGGTTGAAAAGTTTACATCTAAATGTGAAACTTGATTGTAAAATATCCCTCAAGCTGTCACTGGTGCAAAACCAAGAGAGTCTTCTTTGGACATTGAAGCCCACTTTTCTGGTGTTACCCACGTACAGTCATCTATCCGTTGAGTATTCAAGCGCTTTGTCAAAGATTTCAGGATGATGGGGTCAAGGGGTTCCATCTTTGAGTTTGAAGTTTGTCTTCAAAGTTTTGGCAGTGGCTCGTATATCTCCTTCAAGCGGGATATGTAAGGATGAAGAGCTTCAGGAAGTTTTTCATCTTCTAGGATCCCAGCAAGGTTGCCCGCGCGGCAAAAACTCTTCATGAATGAGATTTCAATTTCGCCTTTTGGAGAGAAAACACGTGAAGTTTAGTCATCAATTGAAGGTGACAAGGTCAGAGAAAAGCTCACCAATATGATTATTGTGACTGGCTTTGAGGATATCTCCCATGAGCCTTTCATAAGGGAATGACCACCAAGAGCGGACTGGACTAGCCTTCTCAAGACAGTCAGCTAAGTGTATAGCCATGTGATGATTACAGGTTGGTTTACAGTGCTCAAAGAGCAAAAACGAACTCTCTAGATATTCACGGATATGATAGCGGTATGACAAAATGATTTCAGAAGTCATCACCCGCTTGAGTGCAAGGTTTACCAGCGATACCAAATGACAGAAGTTTTTGAGGAGTGACGATTGGACATGATCATGGCCGTACCACATTGGAATGAGTATAAGAGGTAGTTGAATTGTGAACAAATTTCGCCATTCATCAGCTTTAAGTTTACCAAAAGAAGCCTTGCCCAAAACGGGTAGTGCACGTTTGATCCAGCTGGGAATGTGAATATGAGGTAGTAATGCATTAATTTCTTTCAGCATGGCTGCATCAAATATAATCTTGTCAACTGGAGGAGGCTCCCATGTGCCGTTCCATCCTTCGCCCAAAGGAAGAAAATCCTCATCACTCGAGTCGGTATTCTCTGAAAACAAGATGTTATTGATATTCTCATCTTCTTCATCGTCAACTTCTGGTACGGGGAAACCCTCAGGCTTTGCTTGTGATTGTGGATTGGAGTGCTCTGAAAGAAGATTCAATAGTTCAGCTGTACTGATTGAAGTTGACTGGTCTTCTTCGTTGAGTATTTCTTTCATTGACCAAAAGCGTCGGCAGTGCCAAGCCAGAAGGCCCAGTAACAAGTTGTGCATCAAGTCAATGACATGACATTCAATGATATCCCAATACTCAAGATCGACTAAAACTGAATAACGGACTCCATGGGTTTTAAAGATTGTCTCTCGTTCCTTAACGGTTTCAGCATCCCGTGCTGAATATGCCCATTTTTTGTGCTGGCAAGTGGTACGTGGTGGCCAGGTTGAGGAATCGAAATTCTTTGCCTGTGCCTTCATCAATAGACAAATGGAGCAAAAGTACTTTGCATTTGCACTTGGAAAACCAAGAGAGCGTTGTAATGCAGGTAAATCCGCGATAAAGAGCAGAAGGGCGGCTCTAATGAGGCGACCTTTCTTGTAGGAATGTGTTTGTGAAAGGAGAAGGCCCTCATTCCAAAGGACTTGAAGTTGAGTTACAATTGGGCGTAAGACCCAATTCATCTGCTCCAGTGAAGGTTCCCGCGGTCCTGGAACAACCCCCACTAAGAACACGTTTTCTGGCCGATAACGAATGCGAAAGGGTAGTGTCAGACACACTAAGACAATGAATGTTATAGACACGTGGTGGCCGCTTTGCTTGTTCCCAAATGGATTTATACCATCAACAAACATCGCAAAGGTAAGATTTCCGCTCTGAGCTGTAAATTGTTTCCCATCTCGGCCTTTGAATTTCTTCCAGATCCTGGCTTGATGGATATCATGTACCGGACTGTCCGGATCAAGAGGCTTGGTTGATTCTACCAAGGACTCATCGAGCCATGACTCAACACAAGGTCTTGAGAGCAATCGTGCGATCCAATCGGAAAAGCTCTGGAATGCATAGCGTCGTACAGGGACTGAGCTTCCTCTAGAAAATCGTAGTAAGGGTTCACCGCAGAGACGATCGGTCAAATCAGGAGTGTAGTTCTTGGATAACGTGTCAGATAACTCGGTATTGGAATCCTTGGACTCTGGCGGACCACCTGGAATACTAGCAATTCTATGATTGCAGACGGGTGGGGCGCTTTGGAGGGGGTACAAAGCAAAGCAAGATGGACAGCAATTCATATATACAAGAGTAGGGTCGATTTGAAGCCAACCAAAGACTGTAGCAATTGTCTTTGGAATCCGACGAAAAACTTGATCATCATAAGGTAGAAGCTGGGCAGGTGAGGGATTTGGCCTCAAGCCATGTGTCAAGGACAGCTCAATGTTTGTTCTTTGCACATCCAAAAGCCATGAAGTTGCCTTCAACGACGTGTGGCTAAAGATATTCATCAGAGCCGCAGCTAGTGCTGCATGCAAATGTAACGGGTTGATGAGTTCTAAGCTGAATTCAAAGAATCGTACTATATACCAACATCAATTTGGGTTAGCACTTTGACTGATAAAACGCATTTACAAATCAGTCATGACTAGAGCTGACGTACCACAACTATAAATTTGGTTGCCAAATAACTGCACCGATTCTGAAGAGCTTTGCGATGTATTCACATGCTCGTCAGCAATATCCAGATTGCTTGAGACATTGGCCAACTCCTGGGAAGGCGTAGATCTACGAATGAAGGCTGATGGTGAGGTGCGAAGTCGCATATCTGGTGGTCTTGTAGTTACTTCTGTGTTCAACGGAGCCCTTTGCGCACTCCCAGATGCTCTCAAAGGGAGGGTTGAGCCCAGCGCGACTCTTTCAAACCGTGAAGTTAGATCTTCTTCGCTTGCGACACCAGTCTGAGGGCGAGGACTTGAAGGTAGCCACGAGGATGGAGTACCATCTGTTTGAAACTGCAGTCGTAGTTCTGCACGTTGGTGGGCATCGAACGCTTCCGGACTCAGCTCAACACCTGAACGGGCTATCCCAGTTGGGTCTATGTAGTTGCCAGAAGACCATTGGTATGCCTCGCAAGTACAAATATGCCTTCGGGTTTGACGAGTCTTCTTTTTGGGGGACAGCATATGGAGAAATAGATTGAAAATGGAGTCTTTTGATTGACAGGATACAAATTCAAAGCTCGGTAGGTGAGGGAGGATACGAATAGAGCAATGATGAATGTGATTGTGTTTGAGGACAACCATTGAAACCTGAAACCCTTCTATCGAATCACTTTCCGATTTAATTCTATCTACTATCTAGTGACACGGTAGGAGTTCTTGATAGCTGGTATTGATGATTGCACCGGTGGAGGTTTGATGGCTACGGTTTCAAGAACCTGGTTTCAAACTTGAGATCACCCCAGTCCCACTAAAATTTTGTATGAATAAGCTTGGTTTTGATCTATAGTGGGACTTTCGATCAAAAAGAACCATCGATCAGTTTTAGGTTCAGAAGAAAGGTCAATGGCGACTAATTCCACAGGAAGAAAAAGAATGATAGTGTTTGCTCCGGGAACGGGTGGACTTCAACTTACAATTGTATTGTACACGAGGCCATTGGGCCAAAGATTATCCTAAGTGAGAATCCTGCTTGCACATCTGGTTGAACTTCTAGAGATGGTAGCGTAAAAAATTGTGAGATGAATGTTTTGTCGAGAGTTGAAGAAGATGAAGTTGAGATCGATTTGATTGCTTCATGCGATGCGATAGTCATGGCGCCGATAAGGAGTGTTTAGAAGGAAGGGCTGCTTTGGTGAGACGGAATATGAGTGCACCAGTGTAATCAGGCCGGGTTGATCCAGGCCAACACGCTCCATATCTCACACATGTAAGTATACT